TTTTTTTTTTTTTTTTTTTTTTTTTAAGAATCTGGTTTCGTTTAGCGGCAAACGTCCCGGTTCAGGTAACGTTTCCTCTTTTTCCCACCAACTCTTTCTTCGTCCCCATTATTCGGGTCATCGACACCGGGACAAGTTCTCTGTTCTTCGGAGGCTGCATCCGTGAACACGGCCGTGCAACGAGTGGAACAGAGAGAGAGAGAGGGGGTGGCAGCACTCTCTCGCGTGGTTTTATTGTAGGGTACTTTCGGAGGTCGGCTGAGATCAGCTGTTTGGCTGAACGGCTAAACTTAGTTACGGATAGTTTGTATTTCATTCATATAATGCGACAACTTGAACGTGTGTTTCTTTGAATTACTGGCTACTGGATTCGTTATTATGATTGGTTTTTTTTTTCAAACAGAGCACGTGGATGGGTTTGGTAATTAGCGTTGATCGAAATGGTTAGGGATCGATTTATACGTAATCGTGCGTGACATTATTTGGATAAATTTTGCGGTCTGTTTGATTCGTACATATTTGTTTATTTGTTTATTTAACGGATGTAAATCGATTATAGTATATATATGGAAATGTATTATAAATTGGGAGAAATACTTTTGGTTTTTTTTTGGTATTGAATTGAATTATTGGAATTAAAAGATTGAATATATATTATTTTGAATAATGGACAAGAAGAATAAATTATAATCCTTTCGTATATTGGGAGAATTAATCGTTATTTGTTGAATATGTTGAATTTTTATTTATTCGAAATTAATAAAATTAGAATGAGTAAGGGAGAAATTGAAATAACAAATTAAACAAATTAATAACTCTATATTTTTATCTATATAAATTTATTTTATTTGCTTCGAATTCTTTTTTCACGTTTATTAAAATTTCTATTTAATTGTCCAATAAATAATTTATTAATTTATTATTAATTTAAGTTAATTTTTAAAAGATTTCTTCGATAATAACTCAGATATTCATAAATGAAATCTTTTCTTCGATGCATTCGAGCATATTATGGAGGATTAATCGATCTTTCGATATTTGTACTTTTAAATATTTAATAAATCCATTATTTTTAGATCCAACTTTAAAAAAAGAATTTTAATTTTTAATCAAATAAAGTCTATTATTAAAGATTATCATAAAATAAATAAATTTCAGTTTTTTTATTTGTACGTTATTTGTAATATATTACTAGTATTTATTATATAAAGGAAGAACGATGGAATGGTGGAAAGATTAGGATTTTTGGTTTGCGGTGAAACTTGGACGATAATGAACCGTATTATCGTCCAAGGAAACAGTAGATTTAGTTTGTCTCGCAGCCAAAAGTAATTTCTCAAATTAGAATTTAACATTTTATAGTTTCTTTTTTTTTTATTATTATTTTCTTTTAGCAATAAAACGAAGATAAAAATAAAAAAGATCTTTTTTCAGAAAAAATAAAAATAAAAAAATTAAATAATCAAATGATAATTCAGAAAAATGAAAAATTATAAAACGACAAGTTTCATTTGTGGCTAAAATATTCTTTATATATTTGAACAGATATGTTAAAAGAAGTTTGGATTCAAAGGAGCAAAAAAATAAATATAAATGAAAAAACTTGTGTAAAATATTTTTCATATTTTTTTTTTTTTATTATTTAATTTTATAATCATAATATTATTAAATAATTAAATTTATTTATCTTCCATTTATATATTATTTTTTTTTATATTTAATTATTATTTTATTCTCATTAGTGTTACTATTTCTTACTGTGTTTATACTAAATAAATAAATAAATAAATAAATAAAAAAGTTGATAAAAATAAAAGGTTTATACGATTTTCTCAGAGAGAAAAAAAAAAAAAAAAAAGAAAGAGGATATTGGATTGGTTCTCTTCTGGCTTCGATCAAATAGGTATAGACAAAGAAGCCCTAAAAATGAGTTACAGCCACTTGATTCTCGTCAATCGTTGAATTAATATTAACATGGATATTTGAAATTATGGGGCAAAATCTCACATATCTTTCCACAAATGAAGATATTTAATTAAAAAAAAAAAACGCAAAACAAATTATATATTCATTAATTTCAAGTTCTTTTTTTCATTAATTACTTTGAACCGATTTATCAATACATTCGAGAGAAATGCAAAAAACCTTACAAGCTCGTGAAGTATAAAATAATATAAAAAGATATATATATATTCTTTACTCATCATAGTAATTTCAAATGATTTACAAAACGATTTATTTGTAATAATTATTACTTACTATCACTCACTTGATTGTATCGAATTAGATTGTATACTTTTTTTTATCATCTTTTACATATTTTTATATCTTCATATTTTTCATAAAAAATCCATTCTTTTTTATCTCTAACAATCTCCAATTTCCAAAAGGAAAACAAATCTCGCAAAGGATCACTAAGGATCAAGTGATCCAGATTAAAACATCCCTGTAACATTATTCAACGATTGATTATCAAAAAGCAAATAACACGTAGATTTTTTTTATATTTTTCAACGTTTCGCTGTACCTGTTACATAAATTCCAAGAATTTCCGATCAATTTACAAGTTTTATTCTCTTGTAATCAGAATAAAACTCATAAAGTTTTCAAAATCTTTCATCGATTTTTTTCTCTCTTTCTCTTTCTCTCTCTATTACAATCAGAATGAAACTCCAAAGGAATCGTTGTTGTATTAAACGTTGATT